GTAAAAACTAGTTCACCCATTATGGAAAACAGTATGGCGATTCCTCAGCGATCTCCTAGAACTAGATGTACCATATGACCAGCCATCCCATTACCGGGTAAATAGACCAAAGAAATTATAAATTAGCTGCATAAAGGACACCATGCACACCGTATGGTTATTGCGGCACTAATTCACAATAGCAAAGACTTTGGAATCAACCCAAATTCCCCATCAGTGACAGATTGGATTAAGAAAGTGCACATATACACCATGGAATACATGCAAAAGCCATAAAAAAGGATGAGTTTGTTCCTTGTAGGGACATGGAATGCAAGCTGGAAACCATCATTCTAGCCAACTATCCAAAGAACAGAAAACCAAACCACCGCGAATGTTCCTCACTCATAGGTGGGAACTGAACAATTGAGAATCATTGGATCCTCAGGAAGGGAACATCAAAAAACAGGCCTAATCATGGGGAGGGGCGAGGGGAGGACTTGCATGGAAGTTTATAACCTGATTAAATGACCGAGTTTGATGGGTGCAGCCACAGCAACAATGGCACAAGTATCAATATGTAACCAAACACTGCCACATTATGCACATTGACCCTAACCAACTTAAAGTAAATAATAATAAAATCTTTAAAAAAAAAAAAAAAAAAAGAAAAGAGGAAAGCCCCAGGACCAGCCGTGCCCACAGTGAATTCCAATTACAGGGCAACAAAACCAATGCTGACCCCGTAACTGCCGGTTTTCCGAGGGAGAGTGGGCATTTAACTGCGGTTTCGAGGAGAGTGGCAAATTGGGAACTGCTGTTTCCGAGGAGAGTGGGGCATTTGAACTGCGTTTTCGGGAGAGGTGTACCAAGCATGTGTTCTTATTTAAACATATTTAAATTAATTATAATTAAGTGAAATTAAAACTTCACTTGCTCAGTCCCAATGGATACATTTCAATTGCACACTACCTAGAAGTGACTGATGACTACCATATTAGACAGTGCAGATACAGAATTGTTCCATCATTGCAGAAAGTTCTGTTGGACAAGGCTAGAGGGTACTTTCTATTTGATTATTTAAATTTGCTTACAAAAATGTTTATATTTCATGTTTCTAATTGGTTTTTTTCCTTATACATCTGGCTTTGACTGATTTCTTCCTCAGTTTTCTGAAAATGACTCATTTCTTTTACAGATGTCATTTTTATCTCTTTAATGACTTTAAAAATACCTTAAAGCTATTGTTTCAAAGATATTATTTTCACATTGGTGAGATTATTAATTTTATTGGCTCCAGTGTTTAGTGTTGTTTTATTTTGTTTTTCAGGTGCTTTATACTATTCACTTGGTGACTCATCTTGAAGGCTTAATTCTAGTTTGTTGTGTTTCTGTTTCCTCTCTCATGTCCTCTCATTGTATTTTCTTCCACCTGCCCAATCTCCAGCTCAGGCAATAATTTATAA